CCTTAACTTGACCATTATTTCTCTTCAATCACACCCCACTTCTCTTTATCACTCATCTTTTCTAAAGAGCCATATCTAGTCTCCAACCTCTTTTATCTGGATTTGCATCTTCACCATTGCATTTATTTTGGTTTGGTCTTAAATGTCCATAAAGACCATGTGCCAAAGGCCCTGTGGTGGAACCTTTAGGAGGTAAAGCCTATGGGAGAAAGTTAGGTCAAGTGTATGACTTTGAAAGGGATGTTGGGACCCTGGTCCCTTCTTCTCTCTGCTTCCTGGGTGCCATGAGGTGAGCAGCTTTGCTCCACCATACACTCTCCACCATGATATTCTGTTGAGAGCCACAGCCAAAGGGGCCCCAGCAAACTTCCAGCTGCCAGCAAACTTCCAGCTGCCAGCTGATGATTGGCTCACAGCAGCCCCAGCAATATCTAGCTGATTGGCTCCTCAACGGAGCTGCTCATTGGACTATTTCCCTGCCCTTTCAGACTGCCAGCTGATGATTGGCTCACAGCAGCCCCAGCAATATCTAGCTGATTGGCTCCTCAACGGAGCTGCTCATTGGACTATTTCCCTGCCCTTTCAGACCACAGAGCTGCTCATTGGGGGACTTCTTTGGCCGCCCACGCGACCCAGCCAATCAGCCTCAAGAGCAGGAGGATGGTGGGAGGTGGTGAGGGTTGTGTGGGTGAGAGGCTTGTGGAAGCCGGTGGTGGTCGTTGGGCTCTGAGGGTTTTTTTCCTGAGGAGCTGTTTTGCTTGGCGTTTGTAATTCTAAAAATAAAGTTAGTTTCTTTTGACAAGTGGCTCCTGAATTGTGCCCAGCCAGACTGCGGCAATATTCTGCCTTGCTATAGGTCCAAAGTGATGAGGCCAAGCAACTATGAACTGAACCTATAATCATCAGACAAAATAATCCTTTCCTTCTTGTAAGTGGTTTGTGTCACTTTGACAGAAAGCTGACACAGCATTAAAATTGCTCTTGTCCAGGTCACCAAGAACTCTGACATTATTAAATCTAATGGACTTTTGATCTCTCATTGGCATTTGATAGCAAGTGAAACTTTGCTCTCTTGGATCCTATAATTTCATATTCTCCTCTTCCTCAGATTCTTCCTTCTAAGCTTGACCTCTAATTGTTGAAGTCAGTCTTATTTATCTGTCCTTTATGCAGAGGACTTCATCCAGTTCCATGGCTCTAAGTGCTTATGCCTTCTACATTTACACCTTTATCACAGAACTTTACTTTTGATTGCTATTTATCTCTTTAGTTCGATGTCTTGTTAAACTTCTAAATTTTACTAGTCCAAAATACAACCTTTCCCTCAAGCCCATTCCTCTCCCATAATGCACCATCTCAATAAATTTACCATCATTCAGTTGTTCAAGCTAACAATTCAGCAGGAATCCTGCATTTCCCTCTTTTCCTTATTTCCCATATGTGGCAGCCATGAATGTGCACCTCTCAGATCTCCAGTTGCAGGATTGTTGACTGACTGCCCAAGCTGCTGTACTCTGACATCCATCACTATGTTTCAAGCTGTATTTCCCAGCAGTCACTACTGAGAACAGCTGGTATAAAGGCAAAGAGACCTGGGACTCTTCTGATGGGAGACCTTGGTTTGAAGACTCCCCATTAACTTTGCTGAAACTTTCTTAGAATGGCATCATGTGTACAATTTTTCCTACCCTTCCTTTCCTTTTTTTCCACGTGGATTAGCTTGTATCTACTCTAATATCTCTTCTGATTACCCTCAGATGCATTCCAATTTTTCCTTCACAGTTGTTTCCCCCAAATCTCTTGCATGTCTTACCTGACTTTGTTGGTTGCTGCCCAAAAGATCTAAACCAACACATTGTAGTTGATCCATTCACATATTTTATGTCATTTCTGTCTCCTATATATTTCTTGCATCCCTTCTTTATCCACTTCTCTCTATTGTCATCATTACTCAGGTGGAGCTATGATTCCCTCCGCCCCCATTATTGTAACAGTTGGCTATTCTTATGTATTTATTTTTATTCTAATTAGTTATACATGACAGCAGAATACATTTTGACTCATTGTACACAAATGGAGCACAACTTTTCATTTATCTGGTTATATACTACGCAGAGTCATACCATTCAAGCAATCATACATGTACATAGGATAATAATGTCTGTCTCATTCCACCATCTTTCTCACCCCCAAACCCCTTCCCTCCTCAGTCCCCTCTGCCCAATCCAGAGTTCCTCCATTCTTCCCTAGCCCACTCTCCATTTATGGATCAGTATCAACTTAATAGAGAACAGTTGGCTATTTTTATGCCTTTCCAATCTATTCTCATCACAGTAGGTAGAGTGATTTCTTTTTTTAAAGTAAATCACTGTGTTACTGACATGTTTAATACCTTTCAGGGGCTTCTCATTATGCTTAAAAGTAAATTTTGCCCTCCTGCTATGTCCACAAGTTGCCTTAAATCCTGGCTTCTTCTTCTCTCTTCAACTTCATCTCCTATTACATTCCGCTAGTCCTGGTGCCCACCAAGTTTCAGCATCCTTTCTTTTTCTACAAACAAACAGCTGAGTCCTCTGTTCTTCCTCCATCCTGAAATATTTTCTTCCAACCCTTCAGAAGGTAGGCTCATTTTTAGCTCTCAACTTAAACATCTTTATCAGTGCAGACTTCTCCAGCCAAGCTCAGATATCTACGCAACTTTGTTCTGACTCTTTTCTGCTAGGTAGTTATCACTCTCTGTAACTATTTTGCTTAGGTTTGTTTCTCCCACTTGAACAGAGGATATCAAGTTAAGGCCCATAACTGCCATTTGTTTAACAGAGGATATCAAGTTATGGCCCATAACTGCCATTTGTTTTTCAATGGCTCTAGATCTAAGAATGGATGCTATATATTGAAGAGTTTGAAAATGTTAGACCAGGATGCAAGAAAAGACCACTGACTCCAATTAAAATCAAATTAAAGCAAGCTTATTATTTTGACCGGCCGGGCTGCTTCTCCCTCCCAAAACGGCGGGAACAAGACAGCCCTGCAGCTTTCTTGCTGCCCAGCTTTATAGCCCAAAAAGTTACACAAAGGGGGGTTACAGATAATAGAACTCTGACAAGCATCACACTAATGGTAGTTTACATTTTTTTTGCTGGCCCCAACATCAGAATTTATGAGGACCATTAGAGCCTCAGAGAGGGTCGTTGTCTGGCCAGGGAAGGCCAAGATTCGTGAGGTGTCACTAAAGTTTCAGAGAGGGCTGCTATCTGGTCAGAGAGCCAGGCATGGGTGAGTTCAAGGCACGGGCAGGCATTCCAAGCAGGTTCAGAATTTGCAGTAATTTACAGTAAAGCCGAAATTATCTTTTCATGGCTTTGTGGCAAGATGGCTCCCAATTTTAATAAAAGATCAGGTTGGGTCTATCAAAAAAAAACAATAGCACATTTTAAAAGACTATTTCATGACACTTAAAAATATGTGAAATTTGAATTTCAGTGTCCTTAATAAAGCTGGAACATGACTGTTATGGTCTGGCTCTGTGGTGTCCTCTCAAAGTTCACGTTTAGAAAATGCAAGAGTTTAGAGGTGAAATGATTAGGTTATGAGAATCTTCACTTAGTAAATGCATTAATTCACTTGAATGGATTAAGTGGGTGGTAAATAGTAACTGGGCAGGAAGGGTGTGATTGAATAGGGTGGGTCTCTGGGAGTGTGCCTCTGGGGCACATATTTCCTCCCTGATAGTGAAGCTCTCACTGCTTCCTGGTGGCCTTTGGGAGCTGCTTTTCTCCTACTCACCCTCCATGCCTCACCTCAGGTCCAGAACAATGGAGGTGGCCTTCTGTGGATGGAGACCTCTGAAACTGTGAGCCCTGAATAAACTTCTCCTTCTCTACACTGTTGTCAGGTCTTTTGGTTATAGTGACAAAAAAGCTGACTAAAACAACAGCACTCATTCATTTCCATATTGTTTATGTCTACTTTCACACTACATCAACAGAGTTCATCAATCCTGTATGATCCACGAGGCCTAAAATATTTACAGAAAAACTGTTCTGATCATTGTACTAGATTTAAGCTGCATGAGTTGGCCACGTGATCTTGTTCAGTTCTTCACTCCCAGTGTCTGGTTCATAGCTAGTGCTCAGTAATTGCAAATTGAGCAAACCCTTTCCAGTGTCCCCGAGACTGTTAATAGCTGATGATGTAGAGGTAGGCAGGTTTACCTCTCTTTGGCTTCTTCCTTTCAAAAACCCAGACAAATGAATTAGGAACTTATCATTCTGGACTCCGGAGAAGTGCTTTGAAAACAGGACTGTATTTTATTTGTCTTGAAATGTCCAGCACAGTCCCTTGTACAAGATAGGGTGCAACCAGAAGCCGAAAGAATTCTTTTGGGTTGACTATTAAGGAGAAATTAAGCATTTCAGCAAAGGACTTCTTAGCACAGTGTCAGTTGTACAAAAGTGTTCAGTTAATGTTTGCTCCTGTCTCAATTTTCTTGCTGTAAACAGGAATAAAGTCATCTTTTACAGGGTTGTCACAGATAAACAGGAATCCTTTGTGTGAAAAAGACATGTAAATCGCAAACGCTACCCAAACAGACTTATCCACAATAAATTAATAAATCTTGGCATTAGGCAACTTGCCCTGGGGCGAGGATGAAGTCCCAACTGGAGCGTGCCGACGGGGCGGGGCCGGGGGCGGGGTGGG